TTGCCCAGAGAGGTGGTGGATGCCCCATCCCTGGAGACATTCCAGGTCAGGTTGGACGGGGCTCTGAGCAACCTGATCGAGTTGAAGACGTCCCTGCCCAGGGCAGGGGGGCTGGACTAGGTGACCTTTAGAGGTCCCTTCCCACCCAAACCCTTCTGTGATTTTATGGAGCCATCTCCTCCCTGGGGTGCAGCTGCAGAGGAGGCGGTAGGTAACAACAGGAAGGTTTTCCCTCACCCCTGTTTTGTGCATCGCTGGGGAAGAGACAAACAACACGGAGCCCGGGGACATGGGAGTGACAAGGACCAGCCTCGCAGGAGGGAGCGGGCGTCCCCGGAGGATTACCTCTCGTTCTTCTCCCTCAGCTCCTCCATTTCCTTGGGCTCCGGCTGGTCTGCAGCTTGCTTCTCATTGAGCAGAGCCAAGCGGTCAATCCGCTGCTGCATCATGGTGATCTGAGCCTCTGGGGAGGGTGGCGAGAAAGGGCCCGTTACCACCTTTTTATGTCACCTGAACACCCCCCCGCCCCCCCCCAAAAAAGAGGTCTGTCCTTCTCCCAGGCTGGTGAGGAGCCGCTGCGCAGAAACCACCTGAAGCAGGACACGGAAGATCCAGGCTGCCAGCACTGCTGCTCAGCACGGGCGCTGCTTCAGCCGCGGCTTTTGTTGCCCAGGATATAGAAGGGAATACGAGAGGGAAGAAGGAACCTGCAGTCTCCGCGTGCGCCTGGGGAAATCCCCAGTGGGGAGGTTGTTTTAGGTGTGGATGGCGAGACTCCTACGCGTGCCAGCCTGCTCCAAATCATTTGGCAGAGGGACCGACAGCCACCTCCGAGAGATGCTCGGAGTTGTTACAACAGCGTCGGAGCTGTCTTGGCTCCCATCAGCGAGGGTCCCCTTGGCCCACCACGGAGCGAGGCACAGCGAACCCCGAGCTGCCCTGCCCGCTCTGGAGAGCGGAAAAAGCCCCAAAGCCGCGAGCTGCGCTCACGTGGGGTCTGGCAGGACAGACCGCGCGTGAGCACAGCCGTGGTGGGGTCAAAGCCGTAACAGAAAGTCACAGAAACCAGGCGAGGTCTCAGCCCCGGAGAGCCCTCCCCGCGCCCCAGGAGGTCCCGCTAAGCGACTGACCCTTCTCGGTGATGAGCTTGCGATTCTCTGCCAGCTCCACCTCCAGCTCATCCCGGTTCTCCCTCTCAACAGCCAGCTGCTTCTTCAGCCGTCGCAGCTGAAACTGGGGGGTCTGCATGACGTCCCCCATGGGCGAGGACGGAGGGCCGGCGAGCATGCTGCGGAGAGGCGCGCCAGGCAACTCTGTTATCCGGAGCCAGCGGCAGGGCAGAGTCCCTCCCCGCGCAGCCAGACCCGCTCTGGTTCCCCCATCTCAGAGTGGGGTTCAGAGCAGTAACTTCGACGCCTCGTCACCCGAGCGGAAAGGCCCGCTCTCGTCTTGATTACACTATCGCCAGTCTCCCAAGTGTCCGGCACGCACGTGCAAAACCACCTCCAGTCCCAGGGCAAAGCATCCACCTCCCTTCACACCAAAGCCAGAGCCCCCCCGCAGAGCACTCCGCTTGAGAGAGAGAAACCCCTTTAGCACATCCAGCAGCAACGGAAGCCTGGTCCTCCCGAACCCACCCAGGGCGGGAGGGGACCCCAAGCTGCTCTGGGAAGTGTCTGTGCTCGTTAGGCTGAAATGAGCGGCGCTAAAAGGAGCTAATTACAGCCCCACCTCACTCCCCCACCGTACATCCCCACGTCAAGCCTGGGGAGTTTGCAAGAGGACAGCACCATGGCGGAAAGAGGGTCTCCGTTGAGTCAGCGTACACCCCGGCTACATCCCCGGGTCCCAGAAGCCGCCCTGTCCGTTCCCCCCCTCCCCTCGCT